AAAGCCATGACTTTTCTAACAACCCAGAACATAATTAAGGCAAATAATGAGAACTGACTTGTGTTGATGATTTTTATAGGCTTATTATTTTAAAGTTTATTTCTTTCCTGAGGAAAAGAGAGAGAGCATCCCCAACAGGATCTTCATGCCATAATCAGCTCTTAACTTTAGCCAGCCCCAAGTCATGGACATGTGTGTGTCTGACATACTCATAGAGGTCCCTGGACAACTTTCCATATGGGTCAGCCTTGTAGAGGATCACATTATAATACTCTGCCACCATTTGGCCTATGTCTGTATTTAGACATGTTATCATTGATAGTTTTCTTGTGATGGCTTTGTTATTCAGGGTGATGCTGGCCTGATGGAATGTGTTGGAAAGTGTTCTTTTTTTGGGAGGGGGAGAAGTTTGAGATGCACTGCTGTTAATTCTTTTTTTTTTTTTTTGGAGAGATTTTCACTGTAGGGTGCGTGCGCTCGCCAGACAGACAGACAGAGACATAGAGACAGAAAGCGAGAAATCACCCCCCAGGGGGGATGGTCACGCCGCAATCCCTTCTCCTCCATTCTCCTCTTGGGATCTTGGGCACGCACGCACACGCGCCCGGCGTGAGTTTTAAGCCACCGGGTCCGGGACGTGAACCGCGGTCGACTACGTGGGAGTCCAGCGACATAGCCATTATGCTAACTGCTGGTTCCCCACTGCTGTTAATTCTTTAAATGTTTGGTAGAGTTCACTTGATCTGGTCCTGAACTTCTTTGTTAAAAGGCTTTTGATTACTGATTGAATTTTTTTTACTTATTATAGGTCTGTTCGGCTTTCCTATTACTTTCTGAGTCAGCTTTGGAAGTCATTGTTTTTCTTGGCATTCTTCTCTTTCATCTTGTTCACTAATTTATTGGCATATAGCAATCATAGTATGACTGTATAACCTTTTTTTCCCTTGTAATGTGTGTAGGAATAGTCCTGCTTCACTTCTGATTTTAGTAATTTGAGTTCATTTTTTTTTTTTTAAGCTGGAGGGCACATGCCTGCATGAAAGAGAGAGAGAAAGCAAGCACCTCCTAATGGGGATGGGACCTGTTCATGCTGTAATCTTCTTTTTTCCAGTAATTTATCCCATCAGGATTCTGGGCACATGTGCGAGCATGCCCGGTGTGTTTTCTAAGCTGTGGGGCAGAGACCGAAACCGTGGTCAGCCATGTGGAATCCAGTTTTCTCTGCAGAGTACTTAAGCGCTACACTATGGGACTGTTTCATTTGGTTAATAGTTGCTTAGTGTTTGATAGTTTCCTTAAACACCTGGAGCCAGAAGAACAAAATAACTACTCTTTCCAGTTTAAATGTTTGCTCTGTATGGGGTCATTCATTTCATGTTTATCAACCCATTTACAATTCTACCTTAGTTCTCACTTCCTGTTTGTTCAGAACCTGAAGGTCAGCCAAAGAGGAAAGCTCATGATCTTCTTGGGCTTATCCTGTGGTTGCATCCAGCCCTGACCATGTGTGTATGTTACAGCAGCTTTTAAAAGTTTTACCTCCCTTTGGAACCAGCAGTTAGCATAATGGCTATGTTGCAGGACTCCCACGTAGTCAACCGCGGGGTTCGCGTCCTGGAACCGGTGGTTTAAAACTCACGCCGGGCGCGTGTGTATGCGTGCCCCAGATCCCGAGAGGAGAATGGAGAAGGGATTGTGGCGTGACCATCCCCCCTGGGGGGTGATTTCTTGCTTTCTGTCTTTATGTCTCTCTCTGTCTGTCTGGCGAGTGCACGCGCCTTATAGAGAAAAACTCTCCAAAAAAAAAAAAAAGTTTTACCCCTTATATATCTTTTCCAATTCTTGGCCTCCCCAGGCTTTTCTATCTATCTGTTGCCCCCATTTAATTGTCCCTTGCCACCCAGCGATCTTTCCCAGCCTGGGAATGCTCTCTGTCAGGACCCAAGGCAAACCATTTCCCTGGTCTTCAGAGAACTGCTAATTAACTTGAAACCCACAATCATAATTCTTTAAGAACAAGGTCTGCATTGCTTCCTCTGGATGAGAGGAATGGTTTAAAATTCTGCAGCTCACTTGTTTCCTTTCTCCTTTTTTTTTTCTTTTTTTTTTTTTTGAGACAAGGTCTTCAGGCTAGCCTCGAACTCAGGATTCTCCTGCCTCAGCCTTCAAAGCACATGACTGTGCCTGGCTTAGGGTAGCGCTCTCTTTATTACTACAAAGCAGCTGCTTTTTTCTTTACCAAGCCTTGACCTAGTTTTTATAGGGTTTTTTTCCTTAGATCCCAGAGTTCTGCAGAAATTTATTCTGACAGTATTTGCCATCTTGTTATTTTTTTTTTTTCTTTTTGGAGGGAGGAAGTCAATTTATGGATATAGAAAAGATTATTTTTATTTGGACATAGGTGTTGTTTTGAGGTGCTGATAACATAATTTGTTGACGTTTAGGGACAGTTATAGTTGTAGGACTTGAATGCCAGCAAGAACTTAGAGCAGAAAAGAGATCTGAGAACCTTCTACACAGAAGTCGTAGAGTCAGAGGAGGAAAAAAACATAGTAAAGACAGTGAACTGTGAGTCTGGTTGCTGCTGCAGAGTTTGAGAAGGCTGAGGGCTCTAAAAGGTACTAATTTGGCAATGAGGACATGGCACAGTTTTCATAAGAACGGTTTAAATTGAGTAGAATGGTGGAGGTAGTGAATCAGATTTTAAAGAGTTAGAGCAATGGGTGTTGGAAAAGTTGGCAGAAAGGGAAAAGTTACTTTTTTTTTTTTTTTAGAGATTTTTGCTATAGAGCATGTGTGCTCAATGGAGAGAGACAGACAGAAAGTGAGAAATCTGAGAAATCACCCCCCCCATGGGGGATGGACACATTCTCTTGAAATTTTGAGCTTGTGCACACATGCATGTGGTGCAAGTTTCAAGTTGCTGGGCCAGGACTCAAACCATGGTTGACCATGTAGAAGTTGAGCACCTTAACCACTATGTCACCTCTTGGGCCCAAAAGGTGACTTTTTAAGGAATGGTATAGGTTTTTGGTTATTTTCTTTTTTTAAGAGAGATTTTTGCTAAAGGGCACATATGTTCACTTGAGAGGCAGAGAGAGAAAGTGAGAAATCACCCCCCAGGGGGGATGACCACACTGCAGTCCCTTCTCCTTCATTCTCATCTTGGGATTTTGCCAGGTGCCCGGTGTGAATTGCAAACCAGTGGGTCCAGGACTCGAACTGTGGTTGTTCATGTGGGGAGTCCTTGATCACTGTGCCACCTGCTGGTCCCAGGAGTGATACAGTTTTAAAAGAGTAGCAGAGTTAAAGAGATTTGAGTGTTTTTATACTATTGAAGTGACTGAGTAGGAGGGAAACAAGAATGGTAAAGTCCCAGAAGAGTCAGAAAAGATAGTATTAATAACTCAGAAGGTCCAGAGTTCAGGGACTTGGGTGAAAAAACAAAGAATAATTAGAATGGTTTTTGCGATTGAAGGAATTTGAGAAGTTTTATCTAGGAAAGTCTCAGTTTTCTAGGTAAAGCAGAACACAAAATCATATATTAAGAAATGAGCCTCAGGACCAGCAGATGATGTAACGGTTATGATGCTGGATTCCCATGTTGTTGGCCATGGTTCAAGTCCCAAACCTAGCAGTTTAAAACTCATACCAGGTATGTGTGCTTGCGTGCCCAAAATTCCGAGAGGAGACTGGAGGAGAAGGGATTGCAGTGTGGCCATCTCCCCTGGGTTATGACTTTTCACTTTCTGTCTCTCTCTGCCTCTGCCTGTCTCTCCAGTGAGCACACATACCCTAGAGCAAAAATCTCTCTCTAAAAAAAAAAAAAAGAGAGAGAGAGCAAGCGAGAGAAATAAGCATCAGTGAAAGTTAATGTAACATACATTTGTGGTGATGATAATACCAGCTGGTGACTTTCTCATTTTTTTCAACTAATATGTACTAAGCATCTACTGATTTCTAAGTACCGTAATATAAAAGCTCCTTGAGATTTTATTCAGATATTTATTTAATATGGAAATCACCCTAGAGGGTGATTTCACACTTTCTCTCTCTGTCTCTCCAGCGAACATATGTGCCCTTTAGTAAAAATTTCTCTTAAAAAAAAGAAAACAAAAAAAACTATGCCATTCCTTATTCCATGAACAAAATAAACAAAAATCCATGACTGTATGGAAGTTACATGTTTAATGGGGTGAGGAGAGACAAATATACACTAATTTTTTGTTTTGTTTTTTAGTTTTTGCCGTAGGGTGCCATGTACTCATGAGAGATCCAGAGAGGGAGAGGTGGGGGGAAAGAGAGAAATCATCCCCAGGAGGGATGATAGTCCTGCAATCCCTCCTCCTCCATTCTCTTCTTGGGATTTTGGGAATGTATGCATAAACACCTGTTGTGATTTTTCAAGTCACTCAGTCTGGGATGTGAATCCCAGAGTTGGCTATATGGGATCCAAACTTCACATCATCTGCTAGCCCCAGTTTGTATTATATTAAATAAATATCTGATTTAAATAGAGTTACCTGAGTCAGGGAACTAAGAAAGGAAATAGGAAGAGTACCAAGATATAATTACAGTTGTATACTGTATTTCAAGTCCTAATTTAAGTTTTATTTGTATACAGCTAATGTAGAATTTAGGTTAATAAACTAAAATGAAGAATCACAGGATTGGTGGAGCCTCTTTGTATTGGATTGTTGCTATGAGAGAGATCATCTGTATTTACATAGTGAGAGAAAATTTTTGAACTAAGGACTTTATGATTAGAATATAGTTATTTTAGGGGCTTTATGAAGAGGTTTGTTTTTTGTTTTTTTAATAAGGTAAGCTGTCATGTAATTCCTAAAATTAAGTCTATTTGGTTATGGAAAGAGGATTTTCATTTCCTTTCTAAAAAGAAGATTGTACCACATAGAATTTTACAATTATATGGAGTTGAAGCTACCTTTTAAATAATATTTTTAAAAAGATTCTGTTCTCATCCCTTTTTATTTAAATAGGTATTGGAAAAGTGAAAAGAAAACCTAGTGTGCCAGACTCTGCGTCTCCTGCTGATGATAGCTTTGTTGACCCGGGGGAACGTCTGTATGATCTCAACATGCCTGCTTATGTGAAATTTAACTACATGGCTGAAAGAGAAGATGAGTTATCATTGATAAAAGGGACGAAGGTGACCGTCATGGAGAAATGCAGTGATGGGTGGTGGCGAGGCAGCTACAATGGACAGGTCGGATGGTTCCCTTCAAACTATGTGACTGAAGAAGGTGATAGTCCTTTGGGTGACCATGTGGGTTCTCTGTCAGAGAAATTAGCAGCAGTTGTCAATAATCTGAACACTGGGCAGGTGTTGCATGTGGTACAAGCTCTTTACCCATTCAGCTCGTCCAATGATGAAGAACTTAATTTTGAGAAAGGAGATGTAATGGATGTTATTGAAAAACCTGAAAATGACCCAGAGTGGTGGAAATGCCGGAAGATTAATGGAATGGTTGGTCTGGTGCCAAAAAACTATGTTACCATTATGCAGAATAATCCATTAACTTCAAGTTTGGAACCATCACCTCCACAGTGTGATTACATTAGACCTTCACTCACTGGAAAGTTTGCTGGCAATCCTTGGTATTATGGCAAAGTCACCAGGCATCAGGCAGAAATGGCATTAAATGAAAGAGGGCATGAAGGGGATTTCCTCATTCGTGATAGTGAATCTTCGGTAAGTTGATTTTCAAAGGTAAATGGAAATAGTACTCTAGGTATTTTTTAAAAAGGATTAGAGAGGTTGAGTGGCTTCCCTAAAGTTAACCAGGTAATAAACTGAGACATAAACATAATGCTTTGAAGCAGAAGTCAGTGTTATTCCAGCTCTGTCTATTCTGAATGAAAGACGGCTGTAGCAGGAGGTACTGCACTGAATTACATGGCTTTTCTACTTCTATGGGTTCTGTATTCCTACAATATTTTATGTTGCTAAACTGATAAATGGAGAATATTGAACATTGGTATTTTGTCGAGAGTAGAATAATGCAGAAAATAAAATTGGGAAAATATTTCTTTCTTTTTTTTTTTGGAGAGGTTTTTGCTATAGGGCATGTGCGTTCGCCAGACAGACAGAGAGAGACATAGAGACAGAAAGCGAGAAATCTTCCCCAGGGGGGATGGCCATGCCATAATCCCTTCTCCTCCATTCTCCTCTCGGGATCCTGGGCAGGCATGCACATGCACCTGTTGTGAGTTTAAGATGCTGGGTCCAGGACTTGAACCATGGTCAACTACATGGGAGTCCACCGACAGCCATTACACTAACTTCTGGTCCCAGGAAAGCATTTCTTAAATTGCTATTAGATATGCAGTATGTTAGATGATACTCAACAGTGATTATAAAATAGGAAATATATCAATATATAAGTTTTTTCATAAATGTATTATTTGGAAATTAGAATACACTTCTGTTGTGTACCTTAGATATCTCTTTTAATGCTTCATATGTTCGAAGTACGTTTTCAATCAAAGGTAAATTATATTGCAATATTAGTTAAGCCATGAAACAAAGGCTTATATAAATGGCTATAAAAGTGGACAAAGAATATAGTTACATTGTCTCTTTTGGGTACTGCTTAGAATGTTAGACTTCAGTTGACTTTGATATTCCTTAAAGTTGACCATTCTTCCTTGATAAAGGATATCACTACTTTTCCATTTACCCAGCGATGGTTAGTATTGACTTTATATGACTGTAGTTGTACAAAAGTGAATGTGTAATTGTACAGGAGGTTATAAGTCAGAGAAAAAGTATGTGTATGTGAGAGAGAGGAGGCAGGGAGAGGGAGAATGATTGAGATAAATTGAACTTCCCAAGGCAAACTTCAGGAAAATGGAATCTGTACTTAACCCCTCAGAAGAGCCAGGTGGTTGGTAGTAGGGAATAACACTGTGATCATTTTCTGTTAGATGCCTGATCTGGCCCACTGTTTAAAACTTTGGGATTAACTGTATAAGAAGAGGCCTCTATAATTGATATGGACTATTCAGAAGAGTGTTAGGTTTTAAAAAAAAAAAAGAAAAAGAAAAAAGAAAATATTGACTTGTTGAGAAAGTCATGATGTATCTTTACATTGCATTGATGTATCATGACTTTTCTGATGACCCAATAGCTTAATACCATGTATTTTCTTGTAGGCAATTGAATGTAAATATTAGCTAAAATATATTATTATTTTTAGCAATATAATTTTTAAGGTAGAGGTTTCAGTGAGGCATATTTTGTTGCCCTGCACAATTTTTTTTAAACATTTGAATTAATTGCCAACATTTAAATATTGAAAGATTTTATTACAAAGATTTAGACTTCATGCCCCACCTCTGGGATATGGTCAATAGTGCATTGAACTGCAGAGCTGAAGTCCCATGCATTCTTGGCCCAGTAGACCTAAAGACACACTGCATGTTCTGAGTACATCTGCACATGCCCAGGATCCTGGCAGGCAGGAGGCCTGAAGGGAGGGATTGCAGTGTGACTGAGCCCTGTGGAGATTGCTTCCCTCCTGAGACTTCAGGGCCAGCAGGTGACATAGTGGTTAAGGTGCTAAATCCCACCTCGCTGACTCTGCAGTTCAAGTCCTGGATCTGGCACTTGAAAAACACACCAGGCATGTATGCACATGTACCCAAACTCCTGGAAGGAGAATGGAGAAGGGATTGTGGTGTAGCCATCCCCCTGGGAGGTGATTTTTCCCTTTCCCTCTCTTGTCTCTCTCTGGTGAGTACATGCACCCTATGACAAAAAAAATCTAAAATTAAAAAAAAAAAAAATTGAAATCTCAGGGCTTTAAAATGGAAAGATCTGCCTGCATTGAGCCCCCGTTCCTGTACTACAACAATCCCAGCTGAGAAGTGGCCACCTCCTTCAGATTGGCCATACACTGTCATTCCCTTTATCTGCCCTTCCACTCTGACGCTGGTTTACATTACTCCTTTGGCCCTTCTAGGCATTTCAGTTTGTGGCCTTATATTAAATGAGTTTAAATCAGTTGCCATTTATTTTTTAATTTTTTTTTTTTTTGAGAGATTTTCACTGTAGGGCGCGTGCGCTCGCCCGACAGACAGAGAGAGACATAGAGACAGAAAGCGAGAAA